GGCTGAGGTGTATTTGTCTGAAGTGATGTTTGATGGAGCAGAGTGTTTTTCTTTATGGGCGTTGTTTAAAGGGAGATGAATGTTGTCTGTTTCTGAGCTGATTGGGTGGTTTGTTTGTCAAATTGTGTGGGAAATATTTGTTTGAATTATGAGACTAGGGATGGGAAAGTTTGTGGTTGTCTTGTTTGATTTTCTGGGGGACATGTATGATGGTGATGCCTTCGGGGGCGAAGGTTGAAAGGAAGGGGGAATCCTTGTGGTGCGAGGAAGGTTTTGGGGGTTTTCTGGTCATGTTTGCTGGGTTTTTGCCCATAGAATTTTCTGTTTGGGATGAGGCTTAGCAGGTGGCTGTTTTTCACCTGGAGGCATGGCCTTGCCTTCCTCAGAGAGAGCGGAGGAACAAGACAGCGAGAACCCATCCTGTACAACCAACACCACCACCTTCTTTACTGTTGTTTCTGGGTGCTGTTTTCCCCACTCCTTTCGCTTGCTTTCTCACTGTGTTTTACTGTCAACTTTATCAGCATAAGTCTACACTCTTATCCGATCGAATATTACATTGTACGGTTACCACAATTGCACAGGTGTCAGCTCGGTCAATCACACCATCCAAAATCCGGAAGACAACCGAGACACTTCCACACCGGTACTCGAGTACTGTGCTCGAGTAAACAAAACTAGTATCACATTGCCGGGTATGACGGTTTGCCCGATGTCGCATCCTCCCTTGTCTCCCCCCCTCTGGGCCTCGTGGGTGAGGGGGAGGGTGGCCGCAGCATTCTTTGGGACCGGGCTGTCGCAACTGCTATATACCGTCCTATCATACGTTCCAGGCGAAAGGGAAGGAAAGTTGTCTCCCGAGTTGCAGGATACAGGGCATTGGATGATATCATACTTGTTCTATGGATACCAGTACGCAGCTGTAGAGTTTCTTTCATATCCGTCCCGTACGACCGTCCCGTAATGTGGAGTACTTGTACTGTACACCTCCCGATTGCGAGAATACTCCTGGGGATCAATCCGTTTATCCCAATCAAAAACGGGAAAAGCACGAAACGAAACGTTCAAGAGGAGAAGGTCGTAAATCGAAGTCCATCAATACTTCCACATCCCGCCCCCCCCCTCTCTCTCAGTCTTGTGTTGATTTCTATACGCACAATCCAGATATCGAAGGGACAATTTTTCCCCGCCAATGCCGTCATACGTGATCACTTGGACGTTTCGGACAGCTCCCTGTTGCGAATCCCGGTAGGGGTTATAGATCTGTCGTCAATAACCAGAAATCAATTGTCTTCTCTATTTTGGCTGGAACTGCTGACTTATGTACATACTACATACTCTTAGTAGTCACTCTGCACAGTTCATCCAAATGCCATGTAGACTAAAGCCATAGTCAGGAGTGGTAGTAACTACCTAAAAATACGTACGTGACGTCGTTCGTTCATGCTACCACCTTGAAAGCACCGCCTTCTCCGATATTGTAGAAATCGACTAATAGGGAGTTTGGAAAAATTGTTCCCGGCGCTCTGTTCGTGTGGCATTCGTTTGCTCTGTACTTATGAGGGATGGGGGAGCAGTGGGGAACGAGGCGTTGGTCTGCGAGAACGGGGTTTCAGAGATGGGTGAATTCGTCGAGAATGTAAGAAATCCCAGGCTCCCCGGCTCCGTATGGCCCATGGAGACTATATAGCTCCCTTTCCCTATAGTTGTCCCTGCATAAACCCAGGGTCATTTGGAGGTCGAGTAGGTTCCGGGCAGCGGTTTATATCATCCTTGATACGATCAGTCAGGACAAGGTTGGCTAGTGAGAATACTTGTACATATCATACAGCGCCTCTTTACTCATCTTTGGCAGTGCCAATACCATTCCGGATGATCCCGATTCCTCCATTGCTGCCGTGAGGTTGCCTATCATACGCCGGGGCAGTCTCCTGCGAATTGGTACAGTGTTGTGAAGATTTCGTATGGATTCTAGCGCAGCCAACCGCTAACTGCGGTAGGGTATAATAATATTATCATACATTACGACTCGGCCGCTCCAGCATTTATATAGCAGATCCACAACCTTAATCCCGGGTTAGAGCGTCTTCCCTTGAACTACATTTCAGAGGAAACTACTCCAAACCGTTCAATTGGTATGTGTAGCGCTCATTCGAACCCCATCCGTCAATTGAGCGGCTACCCCGGGGTTCCAATTCGCTGCCACAATCATTTCTGCTAAAATATTATTATTATTATCATTACTGGGAGTACCGGTAGTAGTCTGGCAACTGGCGTTGCGACCAAAGCCCAAAGGTACCAGCAGTATCGGGTCCGTCGCCCGCGTCACACACCCGTACAGTCCGGGAGGAGATAATAAGATTGAAAGAATTGGAGCGCTTTTGAAAGGGAGACGAAGGAGAAGGTTCCACCGGGGAATGAAGGGAGGAGAGTAAGGTTATATAAACGGATTAGGCTGGTATGGTGGTATACTCCAAGAAAGAAAGAATGTCGAACTCATATTTTACGATATCATCTCTATAAAATCTCCCCAGTCTGGTTACTCGTTTGGAACATACAATCAATCCATGAATTGGCTGACAATGTGATTGATAACTCCGTGATGGTATGGCATGGGCGCTACGGATAAGACTCGTCGGAGCTATTTACTGCGCCTTATTGACAATCACAGATCCCCAGAGGCCAAAGCGCTCGGCCGAGGACTCTCGTAATGAAGATAGGTCTATCTGTTGGCCCGAGGGGGAGCAGGTACGTCCAGTGGCTCCGGTAGATACTGGGGAGTGGGGGAACGCGTAGAAAGGGAGGGGAGATAATTCAGGGTCTCACCAGCTGTTAGTGGTGAGAAAGATGAACTTCTCGGCCGGATTGGGCAGATCTTCAAATGACAGAAGAGCTAATTAGGTTAGCGGCTCCGGGGAGTTATTTGGTATATAATAGTTAGACTATTTTGGGGCATTTGAGGATTATTAAGTCTTGTTCCTGGCGCTGTGCTTGGGCGTCGGCAGTCTGCTTGGAGGCTTCTCCATCCTCTCTTGGCGCCTTCTGGACCTGTCTTCTCGGGTATGTGACTGGCAAGCGTCTAGCGATTGATATCTGGCGTGCTTGAATACTTGGCTCCCGAACGGCCCTAGTGGTTGTGAGGATATATGACAATACCGTAGCTCCACTCAAGTGGCCGAATTGAAATCAGAAGGCCATGCTTGGTTCTAGTGTATGTCAAACCCGAGACTAGCCATATATGGTACTAGCTTCTCCAACAAAAATATCGCCAATATAATATCTGACAGTAAACAAGATGAACGCTTCATTGTGAGCCATATATCTTATATGCATACTGATTCAATTCTCTCTTTGATTACAGTCATGCCTTACTATACTAGTGAGTCAGAATGAAGGAAAGCAAGATGTGGCCGTACTTATTTAGTTCTACTATCTATTAAAATGATTACCACCTTCATGTAAAATTTCAAGTTCTAGCTTCTCATAAAATGTGAGTCTATATAGTCCTGTGAGAGTCCATTCCAAGCCTCCACCAGTGTGGCATTAGCTTGCTCAACAGTTGCCTGATCAGCTCCAGTAAATTGGTATACAGAAATCTTGTCTTTGATAATTCCATACTTGTTCAATGGAGTTCAGATTTGGTAAATTTGAAGGCTATTAAATAGTGATAATGTCTTACTTCTTTCTCTCAAGCATATTCACTGATTGAGCCATCTGATGAGTTGATGTATTATCTTTCACAAGATAAGTGACTGGCATCCCTATCTTATACTACAGTTCATTGATAAATAAATACAATTTTGGCCATAGAACCTGTTCACAGTAAAAAAAAACCTAATTGATTCTACCTAGTAGGAATATAAACTACTAGGACTTACTGCTATGATCTTTAATTTTTTCTAAATCATAGGACAATATACCTTTACTAGTAGACTTGACTTTATTCTCCTTGAATATTGTCTCAGGTTTCCACTTCCTTCTCTTATATTGTCTAGTAGTATGTTCTTCCTTGATATTCATTCACTCTATATTCACATTAAATTCATGAAGTGTATTGTACTACCATGTATCCTTGGTGTATGCTTGTGCTTGATTCTGCACTGAGTGTAAATCTTACTTTGTATTTTTTTTTACCAATAATCTCCTTCTAATGCTCCAGATCAGCATTGTTATTCTTTTCTCAAATATAGTACGGTTCATACTACTCTGTTATTATTGATATAATAAGTAAGAAATTTAGTTGCTAAAAGTATCCTCATAAATTCCTAATATTTGTAAATACAACTACTACTGTATAAGTACAGAAAGCTTATTGGAGCCTCAAGATTCTGGTGGTAGTATGCAATAGTAGTTATATTGACAAATGTATGAATAGCAGAAGGAAATAATTACTAGTATGCTTATCAAGTATAATTGCTTTCTAAAACGTTATATAGACTCGAATAGTTACTTCATCATTTGGATCATGAACAGCCTACTTATAAGTATTTTCCCCTACAACTCATAAAACATTGCTATGCTTTCTTCAAATTGAGCCGAATTCAATCTATATTTCATCAGTAAACATAACAGAATGGATGGCAATATGTAGAGCTATATGTGTAACTTGGGAGGTTAAAAAACGTGCTTCTATCTAGGATTAGCTAAGGTGTAGCTTATGGATTTGTCAGGATTGAAGGATTTTATAGTATAGATGAAAAATAGTCTTAATTGTTGATTGGGCTGTGGCAATTTCCAGCTCCTTCACAATATTAGAAAATGGTATTTGCCAATGGTTTTCATCGTGCTGGAATCACTCATGCAAGGCCTCTGATTCCACTGAACCTTCCAGAAATCACTGCTTTCTACCACTGCATTGGGTATCACTAAGATAAGCAAGAACATCATTGAAGTCTGTAGGATCTGCCGCTTGTCTGTTATAGCTTGTCAATCACTCGAATATGCAAGTGGGGTCCACATTATCAGATAAGATGAAAGTAAACCTTTGCTCTTTGCTCTTTGCACAATACCATGCACAGTTTGTATTGGAATATCAAGCTACTCTGCAATTTTTGGGAAGCTCCACTCTGAATGCCAATTCAGTGCAAGTATCACTGCCCTCTGCTGAATTGAGAGTCGCCGTGCATATCCAATTCTTCTATGTGTCACTGGCGTGGCTGGTAGGAAATGGTAGACTTGGTATGTATCATACGTTACTTCACGGGTGCGAGAGGGGAGGGCCTAATAGCGGCCCACATGCCAACGGCCAACCTGGCGTTGTTCTCCCCCACAAGTCTATTCTGCCACTAGGGCCTGACGACTGCCGAGTCTAGTTGCCAATTCCCGGTACTTCTCTCTAGCACCCTCCAATACTGAAGGCCTGATATCTGCGAGGGCTTTTTCAAAATCCTCCACTGTGACCATTACCGGGAGGCCGTCAGTATTTCCGCCTTCCTCCAGTTCGGCAGCGTCTATGGCGCGTTCAAGAGCTAGAACAGTGGCTTCTTTCACTAGTGCCCCTAGATCCGCGCCACTGCCACGATATCAGTATGGAAGAAGGAATGTGCATGGAGCAAGACTTACCTAAAATTTTTACACCTGTTATCCTCCGCAACAGCTCCTAGATCGACGTTGGAGAGGGGTGCCTTATTGGCAAGAGTCTTCAAAATCGCTGCTCTCTCCTCCTTGTTTGGAAGATCTACAAATAAAGGCTTATCCAACCTGCCCGGTCTGAGAATTGCCGGATCAATGATATCGAGTCTGTTGGTTGCCCCAATAATATAGATTCCCTTGCGATCATTCAGGCCGTCTAATTCTGTGAGGAGGGTATTGACTATGCGAATGGAGTGTTCCGAAGATTCGGTGCGGTGAGGAACCAAAGAATCCAACTCATCAAAAAAGATAACACATGGAACAGAAGCTCGGGCTCGTGAGAAAGCCTGGCGGACAGCCCGCTCAGATTCCCCAACGTACTGTGTTGGTCAGTAGGCAGCGTTATAATTGTGGGATATTGAAATCAGGATTCAAACCTTGCTCAGTAGTTCTGCGCCCTGGACGCAGATAAAGTTTGCATGGCTCTCATTTGCAACGGCTTTTGCTAGTAGGGTCTTACCGCACCCCGGCGGGCCCCAAAGGAGTATCCCAGCCGGCGCGGTAACCCCCACACCCCCGTAAAGTTCTGGCATCTTGATTGGCTGCACGATGGCCCTCCGCATTTCAACCTTAATTGACTCGAGGGCCCCAACATCCGCCCAGGTAACATCAGGGACTGTTGCGAAACCCTCTCTCTTAGTTGAAGGTTGAATTTTCGGAAGGGCGGCCAAGAAATCCGGAAGGGTTACATAGAGCGAATCTAATTGCTTTTCGGTAAGTCGGTCTGCTTCAAGGAGGCGTTGAATTGGGGTTAGGGACCCTGACGCCGCCGGGGCAACTGGTGCTGGCACCGACACCGGTAGTGGGGGCGGGCCGACTGGATCCATGTCCATCTTCGCTGAGTCGTCTAACTGGGCAGCAGTTGTCGCTTCTGGGGAGTCAGCAGTGGGTGTTGGGATCTCGAGGGTTTCATAGATTCGTCTCAGTGCTATCGCTCCGGCCCCTGTTGCCAAAGCACGTAGATCAGCTCCAACAAACCCGGGGGTCGTTTTGGCCAATTTTCTCAAGTCAAAATCTCCCGGTAACCTCAACTTCCCACACAGCACCCTCAAGATCCTGTAGGCCACGTGATCAGCGAATCAGTGCATAGCTAGGGGATCAATCTTAAAAGGAACCCGGAGTAAAATACTTCTCTCTGGCAAGCTCATCAGGCACTTTGAGGCAAATTTCCCTCTCAAATCTTCCCGCTCTTCTCAATGCTGGATCTAGGCTATCGGGTCGGTTTGTTGCACCAATAACCATGACTGGTTTCCCTCCAGTCTTCTCCAATGCAAGATCGTCCATACAGGTCAACATCTGGGCAACAATTCTTCTCTCCATATCCCTCTGGGTGCTCTCCCTCTTTGGTGCTATAGCGTCTAGTTCATCCATAAATATTAGGCAAGGGGCTTTCTCCCGAGCTTCCTCAAAAAGTTCCCGTAGCTTCTTTTCCGATTCCCCGGACATTCCTGACACAATTGAGGGAGCAGAAACGGCAATAAATGGTAGCCCAATCTCACCGGCAATAGCGTTTGCTAGCATGGTCTTGCCGCAGCCAGGTGGTCCATGGAGAAGCACACCGCTAGGCGGTTGTACTCCGACATGTAGGTAAATCTCTGGATGGAGCAGAGGAATGGCAACAAGCTCCAAAAGATCCTGAATGACATCTTCTAGCCCGCCAATGTCCTTCAAGGAGATGCCCTTGGGTGGCTCGCGAGAGTCGGTTCGTTTCCAACGTTTCATAGATTCGCCATCTTTGGAGTGGTGGCGTTCTTTTCGTTTTCGGGGCGTGGGCGGTGCCAGCACACTGTTGCTGGCCACGGGGGAAGGTTTGGGAGTTGTGCCTGAAGCGCTTGCTGACCACATACTTACTACTCGCTTGTTCATCGTGTTCGATTCCTGATGGAGGCTTGGGCGTTAGTATGATTCGATGCAAAATGTTTCGGATATTGATTGTAGAGTACCTTTGGTTCCGTCGGGCCCCCTTCGCCGGGTCCTCTGGGATTGCTCGGGCCGCTGTCCGGATTATCGGCCTCGGCCTCCTCTTCTCGTATCATGTCTAAGGCCTTTTCAATCATCTTTTCCAGATTTCGCTTCTTCTGCCTTGGCACGCTCCCGTCCGTAATAATATATTGGTACACCTGCGAGACCGATAGATATAGAGAGCCGTTGCTTTCTTCAGAAATTGGCAGTTGGTCAATATAACTCCGAACTGTGGCAAGAACCTTTCGTTCGAGCTCTCTAGTTAAGGATCGACTGCTTCCAGCCATCGTGAGTTTTAGTCGTTCCTGAAGTGGGGTTGTAAGGTGTTTGTGTCGCTGCCTTCGGTCGAGCCGGGAGGATGGGAGAGAGGTAAAAAAAAGTTTTCGGAGGGTGCTGTGACAGACCCCCTGTTATATGCAGAAAGGGCGGCCGTAAATACGCAATCGAAACTCACAGCCCACGTCATAAAAAACCGCTATGGTCGGAATCTACCCTTCGTGCGGTATCCCATTACTCGCATGGTAATCTCCTGACGCTTGTGGCCACTGCTATAATATTGCTATTGCATACGCGAAAAACTGGCCGGAGCCTCAGGGTTTCGGTGGCATGCAACAGCAGTCGAACCCATACCTCTTTGGGGCCTCGAGACTGTCATTCCTAATTGGGGTGTGCATTGTCAACTGCGGTTTGCTTGTATCATACCGGCAATTGTTCTGGCCTCCCATGAGCCGTAGAAGAGCTTATTCGCACCACATCTGGTGCATAGTCTTTGCCGTTCGAACCATCCCCGATAATACGGCACAATAAACCCTTGGACCCAGATCGAATTTTAGAAACCAGACCCTTCGCGGGCCGGAGAAAATGTTGATTTTCGGTTGGTCGGGATCGGGTCTGTTTTTTATAATGAAACAGCATGCAAAAGTGAATATATGATGCCCACAATTTTTTCTTCTCCTCAAAACATGGGAACCTGTGGACCCGTCACTTCGTAACTCATCACTCCTGCACCCATATGCTGGGATTCCTCCCTACCGGTAGTGTGAATAAACGATCACTCTATGGATCCTTTTTTGGGAAAGTGGTTGTGATACAATATGGCGGAGCACTTGTAAGTCTTTGAATTTTGAGCCTCATGCTGAATATCGTGTTCTATCACACTTTGAGAAAGAGAGGTGAAAAAGGGATGCTGATACAGAACACAACACAGATTAACTCGACGAGTACCACTGACCATCCCTCTGAGAGTTCCCGGATTCTTCGTAGCATTTGAAGATATGGTCTCCGCTCTTGGTTAGTTTCTGAACTTTATTTTCATGGAGTTAGAAGTATTGGGGATTCGCATTCGCATGTTGTGGCGTGAATTGCGTTACTCGAGTATAATACTCGAGTATAGTCCATAGGGTAGCGCTAGAGGTTCGAGTAACTTGGCGGTTCGGGTGGAGGGGCACAGTGCTGAGCCCCCAGCTCCAACCGGACAGCTAGACGACTCCCGTTTGATACTGTACTTTACCGCGAGCAGAGCCTCCATGTTGGCAGGGATTGTGGACATTTTTTTCTTCACTCTCTTCCTGCCGATATCATATCATACAAACTTCCACCAACTTCCCCCCCCCACAGGCAGACCTCTTTCGTATTCGCCCGGGATGGCGGAATATCCATCTCCTATTTCCTTATCCGCACCCTATACTATTTTTGCACTCTCCCAACCAATTCATCAAACGCGGGCGAGAGATCGGGAGGGGAGTACCTATCGTACATGCTACACTTCTCAGGTGGTGAATAAGAAGCGGAGGCGCGCTGGTAATGCAGAAGTTGCCGTAGCTATTGATGGAGAAGGTGTCAATATTTACGATGTATGTTGGATCCTATTTTTTCCCAAGTAGTTTTCCTGACAATTGGCTAGGTACGTTCCACCCAGCTGTTATCAGGCCACGCGCTTCCACCTACGACTAGATTCTCCTGCGCGCCCGTATCTTCCGCAATGCGAATTTCGAAAACAAGACTGTTGAGAAAGACGTACGCTGCTGTATCGTTCCCCAAAAAGCAGATTGTTTGCTGGGAGGAAAACGACGTCCGTGGCGGACAGGACATTGAGCTGGAATCGACTCCTATAACGCCTATATCTCGGAATAATGATTCTAGACATGAAGTAGTGCATCTCCATGATCTATCCATGGGTGGAGGCACAGGGATTCTAGTGGTCCACAAGGATGGCTGCATTCGTTGCCTTTCAGCAGATTTGAAGGAGGAGCTTTGGGCACTTCGGCCATCGGATCCCCCCACTGCCGGAGCCGCGAGGAAGATATCTAAACCTCCAGAAGTAGTTTATGCCGTCACCGCTGATTTAAGCGTCGTGCGCAAAACTCTATTGAAGAACAGGCCCGATGTTCTTATTCCAGGGTGTGGTACGGAAGACACTCGGGAATCCGGGGATCTCATTTTATTCACCGTGATTCATACTGGCAGCTATTTTCAGACCCGTCTATCCCTAATACCCACAGCGCAAGAAGCGGGAAAGAGCGCAAGTGAGCTTCTTGTTTCAGATCTTTTGGCAGCGGAAGGTGACCAGCATTCCATATTCTCACTTCACTTATCTTCTGCTACACTTTACCAACTTTCAGCAACGTATTTGACCACATTCTCGCTTGGACCAACCGTGCCTACAGTTGCATCTTCCCTCCGAGTCCCAAAAGGATCAGATGAGACCCATCATATGTGCTCTCTTCTCAGAATCTCCTCGTCGACAGTTCTTGTAGCAACCCATGAAGATATCTCGTTATATGACACAAGGTTTTCATCTCTACAAGCTCGCGCACCGCTGCACCAAAGCTCCACCTCTTCCTTGCTTGCTAGTAGTGAACTGCCAAGAGCAAACTCTACTGCCCCGGGACTAGATGGAAAGCCTGGGGGCCAAATATTCTTGACTAGTTATATCCAAGAACTCGATTTGGCAATCGGATATTCCCAGGCTGGAATTGTTGGTGTGCAATTGACACGCACGGGTGGAAGACCTGGTACTAAAACTGAAGCGAGGAGGAGGAGTGGGCTTTTGATTGATAGCCTATGCCGCGGTGTTGAGATGGTTGCCGTAGGAATATCTAAAAAGCAAGCGCCTGTTGCTCCGGAGTCAAGAAAGCTTTTATCGAGGTTGGCATCCGAGAGGCGAGCTGTCGGGAAAGCTATTTGGGATTTGAAGGAGGCCAAGAAGGCTGGTGATCTCCGCAAATTCGAACAAATCTTTGCAGAGCAGGTGGGGGTTAGCTGGAAGCTAGAGGAAACCGAACAGGCCGAGGATACCCCTATGATTAACGGAACCTCTGATTTAGAAGTGGCAAATATGCATCCCTCAATTGGTAAGCCCGTTCCCGGGTTTGCTCCTGAACAGGACGGGGGCTATTTTCCGGAGATTTATAAACCTCTCCGTCATGAGTTTGTGGTGGCTGTGCTGGATATGGTATTCGAAACTTCCTCAGACGATAACGCTGCGAAACGCCTCAGTGTATCGTTTTATCCTCCGAATGTATTCAGGTACCTTATTGAGTCCGGTAACTTCTCCGAGACACTCATTAGGTCCTACAGCGGCCTTGTGCAATGCCTGGCGGAATTCGATCCTTCGTTGAGGACTCTGGAGTGGATATTGGGGGTCGCTGGTGAGATTGGTCTTGGAGAGGTCATAAAGGCCATTGAGATCGGTCTGAAGCGTGGGAATGTGAGTGTTGACGGCGAAGACCAAATTGTTCTTGATGTTATCAGAAGCGAAGTCATGAGGCTTGCTCTCGTCAGGTTGAACGGCTTTCCAGCGGAAGCGGTTGCCAAAGCTCTGAAGACCGGGCTAGGGGACCAGGACCTGATGGATCTTATACACCTTTTGCGCAAGGAACTCCTATTCGGTTGGCAGCTGAGTGGTGAAGTTGGAGTAGGTATCGGGATCGAGGATGTTGGGGTTGTTGCAGACATTCTCACGGTTGCACTTGATACGGTTGGTGTTGGGGGGTTAGTCCTGGACAATAGCAGTGATGAGTTCATTCAGGAATTGCGTAATGAGGTTACGGCTGTTGTTGAAGGCGTTCAGGAAGCCGCGGCGCTCAAAAGCATCTTGGAGGAGGTACTTAGACATGCGGATTGGAGGGTGGCGACGGTCGAGAAGAAGCAGGCGGGTGAAAAGCAGGCCAAAAGGCGAAAACGGAAGCCTAAGGTGACCAAGGCAGACGTAAGGGGGACTGGGGAACGGGGGACGGGAAGAAAGAAGGGGGGGAAAGGGATGGTAGCAAATGGGCTTCAGAATGGGGGGCTGGTGGAGGGTGAAGAGGACAAGATGGAATTGGCTCTCGGATACCCTGCAGAGTCTTCGGGAGTTACCCCTTCAGAAAGCTTAGTGGGCGAACCAGCGGACGAACGGGTAGAGGGGTTTCCCCCCTCGAAACTGCGGGCCGAGGAGTTACAACTTCAAAATGAGATTGGGAGCAATGTGGTAGGGAGAGCGAGGGAAATACCGGCAAAGAGCGTATCTGTGGCAAAACATTTGGTGAACTCTGGGCCTATAATCAAAACGGATGCGTCGGTCGTTAGCCCGCTATTACCATTAGGTGTTCCGCCGGCGCCAATTTCGAGGATTAGTTTGGTAACGGCGCAGCCTGCAGGAAGCAGTATCAATTTCAAAGAGCTAAGACGGCTGAATAGAAGGAAGATTAAGGAGGCTAGTTATAGGGAGAGTATGGTCGCTGGAGTTTATTCGGTCGAAAGTATGCTTGTTTAGAGGTCTGGCAGAAAAGTTTGACGAAAAGCGGTAGTTTCCGTTTTCAAATCTGTTTGTGGGAGTGATTGATCTGTACATTAGACTTTATATTTACTTGGTATGTATCCTAGTTCAGAAGTCCCCGCAGATATGTGCGTTCCGAGAACCCAGCGTTATTGTTTGAATAAGTATTGGGCGTGGTCTTTGCTTCTTGCGCCGGGCTTGATTTGGGGGATTTCTCTTTGTAACGTTCTGGTATCCTGTCTTCTTTACGACCTCGTGATACCGCTGCTAGTGACTACAGTCCGCCATGCGAACCTCCAATCACATCCTGTACAATCCTACTGTCATCATCCTCAACACCCCACCTTATCCGCAAATTCTCCTTCCTCCATATATCCTACTTCCTTCGAACAACCTTCGTCCTCTGTTTATCCTCAATTCCTACAGACATCACCCTTCTTTCTCCCCTTCACGAACTCCATCTTTTTTCTTCTTCTCTTTATCATAGTATCACCCTGTCCAATACTTTTTCAATGACCCCTTCCCCACATCCACCATTCATCAAAGATTCCGGTATGACTATTTCTCCCTTATCGAGGCCTTTAAGTTTATTGTAACTAGTCATGGTTATCGCTCGGTATATAATTCAGCGCTGGATCATTGAGCAATTGTATGTAACTCGGAGAATTCTGGCTTTGCTCGAAACTGTACCAGTGTTGCGAATCGGAATACTGATGTATCACGCTCACCGGAAATCCGTTTACAAAAATTGCCCCCATTATTATTATAATTGAAATATGTAATTTTTGAATTTAATAATTACAGCCATGATTCCTGGGTCCTTATTCTGGATCCGTCACAATTTCTACATGATAGCTACCCCGGAAACCTCGGGCAGTCCTGATGGATCGATGGATGGACGTATTATGGATAACTTATAAGATGACCTCACATATCCCACGGGCTCGATTCCGACCTCCCTTCCGTCTATCCATCTGGAAATTTTTGTGCTGTAAACCCCTGTGCTTGAATGGGATAGTAAGGATAAAAATAAAAACTGGCGTGTTCGGGAAAAGTATGTGCGAGAGAGAGAGAGAGAGAGAGAGAGAGAGAGAGAGAGCGAGGG